GATTGCTTATTTTATCTTGCAGAAACTATATGTACAAATATCAAATATTTATTTACTTAATGAAATACAATAGAATGAGCGAAAATAATTAGTCTTTCTGTTTAGTTTTATTATTCCAGTCCATAAATTTTACTTTTATGAATAATTGCTGAATGAATATCAAGATAAATGCAAAAGTAGTGAGAAAACCAAAAACAAAACTGATTGTTTAATTCCCTGGTACGGCCGAGAGTGGGGAGAGTCCGCTCTCCCTCTCGAAATACTCTCACACGGCCACGCGTATATAGCCTCTGCCAGGGAAGTCCTACTCATTGCCTTCTCGTGGCGGGGGTGCTGTTTACGAAAATGAGAGGACGAAAAGCGAATGTCCGGCGCTTTAACCGGATCCCAAACCAATGGTGCATATGGGCTATTATTATTATTATTATTTACCACATTATTCACCCTCGTCTTTGGTGGAAATTCGACTGTATCTAAACGTTCTCGAGTCACTGTCCGGTTGAAAATTCTATGTTACCACTGAATATGAGTACTGAAGCAGTTTTTTTGAAACCATGTGCACCATTCAAACTGGCTGCCTTCAACGTTCGCACACTTATGCGGGTTGGACAACAGATAGGGCTGGCTATGTCTTTGGGAAGTCGTAATATCGATGTCTGCTGTCTATCCGAGACCCGTATTCAAGACTCTGGTGAAGTACTACAAATTCGCTCCACATCTGTCACTTCAAAAAGCGTGTTTTACGTGCGCTTATCCGGGGACCCTGAGGCATCTACGTCTGGTCTCGCTGGCGTTAATGTCGCACTAAGCGCTAGAGCTGAGGCAGCACTAGTCGATTGGATCCCCATTAACAGTCGGTTATGTGCTGTTAGATTAGAGAGTTCCATCAAAGTGAGAGGAAATCGGCGTGAGAAACGATGTCTTTTCGTCATCTCCGCTTATGCCCCGACAGATTGCAGCCCGGATGCAATCAAGGATGAATTCTACCACCAGTTATCTGTTCTTCTATAGAAAATGCGTTCGACAGATATTGTAGTACTAGCTGGAGACTTGGATGCTTAGGTCGGGCGTCTAGGCACAGAAGAGAGTCGTTTAGGTGGCCGATGGGGACTCGTTGGTCGCAGATCAGATAACGGGGACCGTCTACTGCAACTTTGCACAGACCACAACCTGTTTCTGGCTAGCACTAACTTTCGACACAGTCATCGCCGATGTGCCACCTGGCGTCCTCCCTCTGCATCTCAAGCCTGGACTCAGATTGATCACATCGAGATCAGCTACCGCTGGCGTGGTTGTGTACAAGACTGCTGCTCCTTTTGGAGTACCTATCTGGACTCTGACCATGCTTTGGTCTGCGCCAATCTTACCTTACTTTTCAATGAACAACGAAGTGACCGCCACCAACGGATTGATGTTAGCATGCTGGTTGCAACTTCTGTTGCTAGTAAGTATCGAACCGAGCTAGTTTTTAGGCTAGCTACCATTCCACCGAAAAGTATAGATGAGCATTGGTTGCAATTGCATGACGCCATGAAAATGGCGGGTACAGTCAGTTGTGGGTTCGCGAAACGTCCCGCTTATAAGCACTGGGTTTCTGCAGGTTCCTTACAACTCACTGAAGCCCGTCGGTCTACTCTGAGTGACCGTGAGTTTGACCGCAAACAAAGGGTGCAACGTAAGAAAATTGGACAAAGCTTGCTTAAGGACCGAGAAGCCTGGTGGTCGGAGCGTGCTAATGAGCTGGAAGCAGCAGCTGCATATGGTAACTACCGGAAGCTCTTCCAACTCATCCGAGCCACTGGCAGCAAGGAGTCCGGTGTGAGCGAAACAATCTGCGAGGATGATGGGATGCCAATCACTAACATCCATCGACATCTTGGACGATGGGCAAAGATTTTCGAAGGGCAGTTCAACTGGCCTGCTGCTCCGGCAACATCGGTCAGACTGTCCTGCCCTCCATGGCCGGTGACGACTGATCCGCCAAACGAGGAGGAAGCCCGCAAGGGACTCCAACTCTTGAAGCGTTACAAATCACTTGGCCTAGATGACTTACCTCCGGCCCTTTTTAAAGATGGTGGTGACTTACTGACTAAGGAATTGACGACGTTGTTTACAAAGGTTTGGGAGCTAGAGAGTGTACCAATGTCATGGAATGAGTCGATAGTTGTCCTTATCTTTAAAAAGGGTTCACGTCGTTCCTGTAACAACTATCGGGGGATAAGTTTACTTCCGATTGCGTCCAAGCTATTGGCTTCCGTCATACTTCGTAGGTTGTTCAAAACCCGAGAAAGATTGACCCGCGAGAAGCAGGCTAGATTTCGTCCTGGTCGAGGATGTATTGCTCATATCTTCACTCTCCGCCAACTGTTAGAACACCGCCATACTTCTCAAAGGCCAACAATCGTAGTGTTGCTTGACATCAGGGCTGTCTTCGATTCGTTGGATAGGACTGTTCTCTGGGATTCTCTACTGAAGAAGGGTGTGCCTGAGTGTATTAACATCCTAAAAGCCCTATATACAAACACCTCAGGCAGAGTGAGGGCATACAACCACCTCTCTTCATTGTTCCATTCGAGCAGTGAGGTTAGACAGGGTTGACAATCTCACCATTCCTCTTCAACTTTGCCATCGATGACATTCTGGAAACAGCTCTGATGGATGTAAGTAATGGTGGTGTGGATCTGTTGCCTGGAGAAAGACTTCTCGACCTTGAGTATGCGGACGATATTGTCTTACTGTGCGATAATGCCCAAGGCATGCAATCCGCACTTAATCAGTTGGCAATCAGTGTCCGTAGGTATGGTATGTGCTTTGCACCTTCGAAGTGCAAAGTACTTCTACAAGACTGGCAGGATTCCAATCCTGTACTCACTCTGGATGGTGAGCAGATAGAAGTAGTCGAAAAGTTCGTGCATCTAGGTAGCTGCATAAGTGCTGGTGGGGGTGTGAGATCAATGTACGTATAGTGAAAGCCAGAGCGGCTCATGCCAATCCGGGCCATCTTTGGCGCCTTCATGATGTTAGTCTGGCTGAAAAAGGTCGGATCTACAACGCGTCGGTGAGAGCAGTTTTGCTCTATGCTTGTGAAATCTCGCCTCTACGAGTTGAGAATGTTAGACGACTCTCTGTGTTCGATCATCGCTGTCTCCGAAGGATTGCTGACATTCAGTGGCAACACCATGTTAGTAATGCAGAGGTTCGGCATCGTGTGTTCGGGCACCAAGATGATAATGCAATCGATGTCACCATCTTGAAACATCGACTTCGGTGGCTTGGACATGTTCTCCGAATGTCGTCCCAGAGAACCCCACGTCGTGAATTATTTGTCGACTCTGGGACTGGTTGGAGGAAGCGGATAGGTGGTCAGTGCATGATATGGTGTCGTGGTATGAAAGAAAGCTGCAAAGGACTGGCTTCTGTCGGTCCTTCACGCCTCCCTGGTTGGGGTCCGAGAGATGGTGCTACACAGTGGCTAGAGACGTTATCAGATATGGCTCAGAATAGAAGCCAGTGGCGATCCTGCTGTAACTTTCTTTTACTTTCTTCATGAAAAGTGGTTGTCTTCCTTAACTGAAAGATTTCTTCTGATTGTACCTTTCCGTTCCCTCATTATTACTATTATTATTACTACACTACCTTACACCAATCTCTTCGTTACTGTCCTCTTTTTTTTTCCTTCTCTTCGAATTCTCATTGTTTTGTGTGGCGCATATATATTGGCGCTCTCTTGTCCCAATATTTATGTGTTCAAGTAAATAAATAAATAATAACCTATATCAAGATGATCTGCTAATATTCAATATTTGCACAATGCTGAACTTGAGACAACAATTCCAGGTTATAGGTATACCAACTGATAAGGCATGAGTGAGTATAAACAGAAATTCTGTATCCCCTTATTAGCCATAAACAAATGTGACTGATAGGTCAAACACTCTAATATATTTTTCCTGTTATTTTGAATGATCAGTTTACAGAAAACACTTGTAGTTGGCAGTACACGTTGTCAGTGCACAGGGATTAGGTATATTCCTTCCTGGCTGAGCTCACCTACTTAGGGATCAAGTCACTCTCTACAATTACTGCCCCTAAATGTCCTTGTACGGCTGAGAGTGAGGAGAACCCTCTTTCACTCTCGAAATGTCCTCATATGGCCATGTGTATACAGCCACTATCAGGGAAGTCTTAATCACTTCCTTCTCTAGGCGGAGCTGCTGTTTACGTAATTTAGGGGACGAAAAGCGAAAATCCGCCGCTTCATCCATGTTGGTGGGTACGGAGAATCCATTAAAAGTTGTTGGAAAACCCTGATTTAAAATCAGTATCGCACATGGGCTCCAGAATCCTGAGGGAACAAATGGAGTATGAACCTATTTTCGGTCACCAACTACCATGGGACCAAATCTCCGAACGTCGCTTCACTGCCTTGTGGATTTCAGGTCGTTGTCCCCAAAGAAAAACACTTGTCTCGGTTTGGGCAACTGAACAATATCCGAGTCCACACAACTATTTTATGTTGCACATAAATATTTTGGTGTCTTTTTGTACCAACGATTACGTGTATAAATAAATAAACTACAATAACTACATTTAAAGAGGTATTTTGGATGGAGCTGGATAGTTTCGGAAAAACTAACCCAATTATCGCTTTCTAGGAGTGGTACTGTCTTTACTTTTTGAACTTTTGTAGGTTCGTTTGACAAAACACTTCACATGGAATTCTTTAAGGGACTTCTTCGTTTTCGAACTTAATGCTGCACCTCAACCTGGACTTAACCCACTCGAGTTATTAAAATATAAATGGTTTATTCTTTAGATAATGTGGTGTGTAACCAAAGAGTATCATTTTGGAGGAAATCGTTAGAACTATTAGTAGAAATACTTCAAAATAGCTCAAAGAAAAAATACGTCACAGTATCTCATAAAAGCTTTTTAAAAATTCATAAAAACTGTACAAGATGATAGGTGTATCAGTTATTTACAGTTATCCTTTTCCTGTCTCAATCACTATCACTATGGTCTGAATAAACCATTCCAGGTAATGGTTGATACGGCTGAGTATTATCATTATTATCATTACTGGTACATGACACCTGTTGATCAACATTACTATCTTTTGGTTTATCATTTGTTAACGAATTATTCGTTGAGGAATTTGAAACATTTATGTTATTCATGGTCGATGCTTTAGAATCACCATCAAGCTTTGGAATTTTAGTTTCTGATACTGACCTCTTTTGCACCCGTAAAACACCTTGAAGTTGTCGCTTTAGATAAGATTTCCCAATCTATGATAAAAAGAAATCATGAATATTAGAGGACTAGGTATTGTAACGAACAGTCAGGAAAATAGTAACTAAATAACAGATACAGGTATATATGACGATTTTTCTTGTTGTTACGCGATCCCAAGTCAGGGAAACTAGCTTCCTATACTTCATTGTGACCACAGGGTATGAGTAAAGTATGATCTGGTGCTACAGACCAGAGTACAATCAAACATTTGGCGATATCTGGTTAGTTTAAATGGAAGCAAATCAGGGTTGCACAGTTTCGTAAGCATAAGTAAACCAGTATATTTCAAGATACATTTTGCTTCAAACTGTATGTGATAAAAGTATAAGCACATATACGGCTAAGTGACATTTAAGCTAAAAAGGTTTAGCAAGTGATAGATAACAAGTTAAGACGAGCTGATTGGACTCATTAATCAATAGTACGTTTGTGCATTTACATTTGAGAGACTTGGTATATGAACACTACAAATACTGACTGGCACTAGACCATAACGTCACTACCGTTATCCCATCTGACTGATCACAATCACTTATCGTCCCAATATATAAGAGAGGGTTAAAATCATCCTGTGATAACCATAGAGGGATTAGTTTAACTATTATAGCATCTAAAATACTAGCCTCGATAATTATTAGACGCCTAAATAAGACTCATGAACTGCAAACATGAGAAAATCAATCTAGCTTCAGACCCAGTCGTGGCTGCATCGACCACATATCCAACATTCGTCAGATTTTTGAACACAAACATGCTTATCGGCATCCGACAGTGGTGGTCTTTCTTGACTTATAGGCAGTATTTGACTCTGTAGACCGGGAGGTCCTATGGTATTGTCTGTCATTGAAGGGCTTACCTCAGAAATACATAAACCTTCTGAAGGTTCTTTACTTGAACACTACTAGTCGAGTCAGAGCTTATGGCGAACTGTCATCTGCTTTTGCAACCTCAAGTGGTATCCGTCAAGGCTGTCCACTTTCTCCATTTTTGTTTGACTTCATCATAAACATACTGATGAACATAACGTTCTCGTCGACTGAATTCTCGGGTATTGATCTCCTTCCAGGAGGTCCACTTAAAGACTTAGAATACGAAGATGACATAGTCCTGTTTGGTGAAGATGCTGATAAAATACAGAGTCTTCTGGTAGCACTAAGCAACAATGCCAGAATGTTTGGAATGCGCTTCTCTCCCTCTAAATGCAAGTTGTTGCTTCAGGACTGGTCTGCTTCACTTATCTTGGAAGTCTGATCAGCCCTAATGGGTTGGTGTCTGACGAAATCTCAGCACGGATTCGAAAAGCTCGTTTGGCTTTTGCCAACTTACGTCACCTATGACGAAGGCGAGATATCCGTCTATCAATAAAAGGACGAGTATACTGCGTGGCAGTCCGTTCTGTTTTAATTTACGGCAGCGAAACATGGCCATTAAGAGTAGAAGATACTCGTAAGCTACTAATATTTGAACACAAATGCCTTAGAAATATTGCTCGCATTCTCTGGGATCACCGGGTAAGTAATAGTGAGGTTAGACGCAAAGTATTAGGGAATGATGGTAAATCAGTTGATGAGGTTGTGAATCTTCATCGACTAAGATGGTTGGGCCGTGTTACGTATGTCTGAATACCGATAACCACGACGCGCAATGCTAACCGGTGTTAGAGATGGTTGGAAGAAAGTCAGGGGCGGCCAAACCAAAACGTGGTATCAGTGCTTGAAGTTACTAACTTCTGGTCTGAGTCATGTTGAGAGATGCAGACTACTTGGTTGGGGTCTGCGTGACTATCGTAACCAATGATTGGAGACTCTTGGTGACATGGATCAGAATCGATCACAATGGCGTCGGTTTATACATTCTCTGTCTTCCCTTAAACTAAGAGTTTAAAATCGCTTCATAACTTTCTTTCTACGTACTAATTCTTTCATCCTGTACTATATCCTTATTGCGATCTTTCTTTTATATATTACCAAATCTGAATTAACTACTTTTATGAATCCGTTGTTCATCTTGTTGTGTTAATGAGGTAGGGCAACTTGGACCGATGCATATATGTGCCTGGTCCTATGTTGTAGCTGACTGACTGACTGATAAAGTCACTACTGATTGGAGATGTACCGAGGTGGAAACTGTCCAGTAGTGTCGCCGGCGATAACCGTAATTCATGGTTGGAAACCCTATCTGACACGGCCTTGGGTCGGTCAGAGCGAAGCCTATATATTTGTTGGTTATTTTACTTTGGATTATTAATATTGTAGTCTAAATGAGTCTGATATACACTTCAGGTAACTTTAGAAACTAAAACCCATGATGTTAACATGCACTTAACACTTTTATGACCATACCATTCTCATTACCATAATTACTACATATTTAGGTCGCACATTCTGAAACAGTTATAAACAATTCCCGTGATACAAACCATTCTGTAAACTCTAAAACGAACTTTGAACATTCGGGTTTAAAATTATCCCATCTACATACCACCACTAACAAACCTGAATAATAAATGGATAGTTATCAAAAGAGAGAATCTCTGGCCAACTAACTGAATATTTATTGAATGGTTACAACCATAATTTATATACATATTATTGAAGCAAGACAGTATGACTATAAATTAATTGTAAGATAATTATGCAATGATGTAAATGAAGATTACAAAGCAACTAGTGAGACTGTACACTTGCACATAATGTCCCTTATACAGTTTTCTTAGAGTTAAGAGAAAAATCGATTTTGAGCCCTAATGTTGACTAGAAATTTAGTTTAAAAAATATCAAGAAACATGGTGAGAAGTAACTAAAGTTCGAATGTATGACAAACTCCCATAAAGTTTAATTTTAATCCATTTGTTTATTAACGAAGGAACTGTGGCATAGCATTATTACTGGTGTGAAAAGATGTGTCTGGTAAAAAAATCGAACCCAAACCATATCAGTTTGTGCACTTACGACGTTAAAAAATTATAATTAATATCCCTTTATCAAATGAGGATTAGAAAAAAATTGTCTAAACTACGTGTTGGTGTTACGCTAGTTGAACAATCAGAAAATTATTTAGGGAACAGCAAGAACGACGACAATCGTAAAGTTGACATTTTTAATACACAGTAAGTTGCGCAACAAAAGACATCCGTTTTAGCACTAACTCCAAGTGGCCAGCACTTACAGCAGTCCTGATATTTTCTCGTTACCACTTACAACGTAAATTGACTAGATCTGGCGAAAAATAAGATTCGGAGACGAAACGGAACGATTATGAGACTTGGGAAAAAAACTTTTGTAGATCATTAAAATATATTCTACTCACTTCTACTGGTTCCTTTCTATTGACTTTCATAAGATCTTTCAAAGCTAGAAAAAATAAACAATTAGATATAACGTCATGAACCTGGTATTCTGATCGGCTTAGAGGAATTTTCACCTCCAAACTCCAGTGGTAATGAGTGGACTTGCTCGGATTTTGAAGCAAGTAATTCCCTTTGGAAATAAAATTAGACGGCAAGAAAGTGGTCTACTTTATTAGAGCATCGTCTGCTTCTTTTTCAGCCTCCTTGACAGCTTCTTCTTCTCGCCACATTTGCCTCAAAAGAACATGATCTGCTTCCATGGTGGCTTGACGTTGATTTAACTGTTTCAAGTCTTCGATTACTTCGACCATTTCCATCTCTTGTTTGCTTTGATCAGTCCTCTTTTCCAATAATTTCATTGGGTTGTTAGCAAGTTCTTCTTCCTCTTCAGCTTGACGTTTAGCTTCCAGTTCTTCAGCCGTTTTTAATGCTTCGAAGTTTCTTTTAGCCCCACTTTCTAGGACGTAATCTCCGCTTTCTAAATCAGTCTATGAACAACAGTTGACGTAAAAAATGAAACTCAGAGAGCTTACACGCCAGATAATCTCAGCACAGCACAAAGGACATCGGATGTAAAACCGATAGTGTCTTAGGCCCAAGTAATCTACATTTTCTGCAGTTTCCATTCGCGAATTGAATTTTTTAGCTTTGTATATATAACCATTGCACGTATTGCACCTGATGCTAGTGATATTACAGTAAACAAAGTTACCTCATGTTAAATGGAGCCATTGTTCTAATATTAAACTGTTTACGTCGGTCGCCTCTTCTAAGACGAGGTATTTTTGAAGGATCATAGTCTGGAGGGAAATATTTCTATAATTTATAGTCACCAGTGTAATCTTAACTAACTTACATTTAGGACTTTGCGTTCGGTCATTATTAAAACTCAACGAGAAGAAAAGTACCTGCAGAGAAACAATACAAATATTATATGTAAAAATAACATTTAAAATAATCTCAGCGATTGAAATTTAAATAATCCCAACGTTTTGTCCAGCTAACCTGTCTGGACTTCTTCAGGGTAATAATCAATTTTGTGATATGTACTGGTCTTAAAAATTACAATGAGTACGTGCAGCGAATATATTGCATTTCAAGTTGTGTGCATTTACTACGACATGAATTGACTACAGTATTGAACTTTAGAAGATGGAAAAACTACAGAAAACTAAATCAGTCTTTAGTAATAAGGATAGGAAGTCTATCGACCTATATTAATCCTTGCAGTTTGTAATACTGTGGAGGTTTAATCTCGTTTTGACTATATCAACAGAAGGTGCTGATATTACGTGTTCCGGTAGAGCATTCCAGTAATTCACTACTCGGTGCGAGCCCCATTTACCCTTATCCTTTGTCTCCTGTCATGGAGAAAGTTACTTATCCACTATACGCCTGTATAATGGATTCCAAAACGTTCCAGTTTGAATTTAAGACCAGAGTGGGAGACCTTATCGAAGGTCTTACTTAGATCTATGAAGATTATATCCACAGGAATATTTCGATCTTTTTGCAGCAGCCCAAACTTTTCTGTTGCAATGAGATTTGTCAAGCATGATAGGCCTCTCCGAAAACCATGTTGTTCACTGTAGAAAAAATTATGCCCTTCAACATAGTTTATAACAGATATCCGAATGATTTTTCCCACCAGTTTTACAACTGCACTAGTTAAGCTAACGGGCCTATAGTTACTAACTAAATCCCTAATCCCAGCCTTATATACCGGACTTATCATAGCGTCTTTCCAGTCTCTGAGCAGTCTGGACTGCCTCCGAGACATGTCGGATTGTATTGCTAACGGTTTAGCAATTACATCTGATATGGCTTTCATAATCCTATGATGAATATCATCGGGACCACTAGACTTATCAGGTTTGAGATGCTAAAGTAGCCTTGACTACAGGGTCCATCAGCGAGCCGCCACGATCACAATGAATCGTTGGTCGTTGCTCATTACTGATAGAAAACACTTTACTGAAATATTTCGATAGAGCTTCAGCTTTTTCGGTATCACTTTCTGCCAAGAGTAACGGATTTTCTTGTATCAAAACTGATGGAATTCCATAGCTTCTCTGAGTTCGCCTTTTTATATACGAGAATAACCGTTTCGGACTATATCTAGAATCCTTAACCAATTGTTTTTCATAGGATCGTCTAGTCTTACTTATCAACGCTTTACAGGCATTCCTAATCTTACAATAACTGGATCTGTATTGTTCTAAGCCAGTAGAGATGAACATATTCCAGTGCCTCTTCCTTCTTCTAAGAAGTTTCCTGACTGCTTTATTTATCCATAGTGGACTGTTATTCGGTCTTCGCGGTACCAGGTATGGTGTGAACTAGGACGTAACTAAACTAAACTTACCTTTAAATACAGACCATGCTTCTTCAACTGATAAGCTAGTATCTACAAACCAATGTCTTAGCAGCGCATTCCTGAATGGCTGATACGTTAGCTTTCCATACATTTGGGCGAGGTGTAACCTGATCGTATAACATCCCTAATTCTAAACTTGAATGACAAAACAGCGTGATCGCTGCTCACTAACGGTGGAAGAATATTTAGGTCAACAATATCCTCAGTATCATGAGTGATCACCAAGTCCAACAGAGAAGGACCTTGGTTAGCACCAAAACGTGTGGGTTTGGATACATGCTGCACTAATGCATGCTCCATTATTGTTATCAGGAGTTTACTATCAAAGGAGTTTATAGATCCTTCCCTGATCATCTCAGTCCAACTAATATCAAATGCATTAAAGTCTCCTAATATCAAGCATCTGATATTTGCACTCCAAAGCTGAATGTGCTTTAAAATAAAGTCATCAGCTAGGCAGACTGGGCTGCGATAGATGACACCGCGCATAAATGTACTACATCCGGTAGCCAACTTACAGCTAATGACTTCACAAGTACCGCTATCATGGGATTCGCTAGCAGAGGAGCGGATATTCATATTATAACAGGACGCCACCTCCTTTTCTACACCTATGTCTATCACTCCTGAGGTAATTGTATCCGGATAATTCTGGAGTAATGTCTAAGTCATGGACTAACTAAGTTTCTGTCACTGCTACAATGAGTGGCTTTAATCTGTCCACTAATGCTTCTAGTTCATAGAACTTATTTCTTAGAAAACGAGCGTTGATTAAAACGAAAAAAAATAATAAACGAAAGATATTCTACAACTAAACAGAGACAAACAAGCTTTCAGTATACAATACGTCTACATCTTATTTCGTCATTTGACGCACAACACAAAAGTGAATGTTATGTAGCATTCTGAAGCAAGTGTCAGATCTATTTGAGTAGAGCTATTAAGGTCACATAAAATCCCTCCTTATAATACAATACGACCAGCTTACCACCTGTTTTATTACGTTATAAAATCTTTATACTTACTTTAATTATAACGTTTAGAAACTTTCCCAATCTCCCAATTTCGGGGAAGCGGCCATAGTAAACTTTGGAGAAATGGCACAAAAACCCGAAAATTTTCCCAGAATCTCATTACACTTTGGGGAAGTGTGTCTATATTTATTAATCATACTAAGAAATTTTAGTATTTTCATTTGTTATAACAACGTTATAACGTTTCCTTCCACGCTTTGGAATGGAAAAATCAACTTAACGCAAACCTGAGTACCAGCATAAAAAGAGGTTCATACTTATAAATTGTAAGGGGAATGCCTGAAACCTATGGATCGATAACACATAAAGTATAATACATTGCTGTGTCCTAAAGACGACTTTTCACAGTTAACATCAATGAATACTCTCTGGTAATAATAGTTAAGCAAAATTGGAATACCAAATTGAGATAGAACGCACTCTTCTGTTTTTTTAGTATCACGATGATACCATGAAGTTATGGACCTCTATCGAAACCTGATCTATTTACGCATTCGTCAAGGTCACTTTTTATACCAACCTATCTTAGCGAAATCCAATATCCAATATTTAGCCATGAGCTCAAGTAAGCAAATATTTCTGGATGGAACAGAAGAAGCTTTTGCCTAACGGGTTTCCGTATATAGTGGCAATGGTACACCAGTGTTGACATGCCGGAACCCAGGTATATTTAACAATGAAAATATGAATACTGGTAAATTGTAGTGATATACTGTCCTGGGTCCTGAAGAATATGTTGATTTTCCTCTTAAAATAATGCTGTAAAGACACCAAGACTAGCTCGTTCGTCGGCAAATTCCGGACGTTAGCTACTCTTAGAGAGTAAATGATGTGACTATAGTCCACACCACTATATTGTCTCCTATTTCTTAATGTTAGCCATAGATTTTGTGCTGAAACTGAACTTGAGTAGGTATTAAGAGGATGCTCGAGAGTGGTCATGGTGCAATAATTCACTAGAAAGCTACTTATGTGATGTCTATACTCTAAAGAGTAAATCTATTCAATTATTCGTAGCGCTTTTCCTGAGGTTTGTGTTTGAAATTCCTAAGTGGTTTCATGTGTTGATCACCAACGTAGATGACCTGTGCCGGATGATTGGGGGTTACCATAGACGGGAAAAAATCGTGTGACCAACCAGCTAACACCAAAGTCACACTTCATGGTTAATACCATTTCGTCGTATCCAGGTACTGTGGCTGTTACGATGACGGTACGACACAGACAAAGTAGTTACAGAAATATATTAGTTAGAGTAAGTACAAGGAGCGGTATGCGACCACCACCGCATGGGTCAGCACGTGGCGTGTAGTTGACTGATGCGTAATCGTTATCGTTAAACTTGTCGAGGACCGGTAGATTGTTCGATATATAGTGACACAAATGCCGGAAAATTTACCTAGGACCCAGTGACGTTCCACTAAACCTACACATTCGAAAAGGACAAAACAGATCAAACTAGCCTCGACTTCAAAGACTGTATGGTAAACTGGGGCAAAACAACAATTAACAATTTACTGGAGTAAAACTCGGAAAGAAAAGTATTCTACCGAACATTAGGTTCAAGGCAAATTCTACGGGTGAAAAAAGATATTTTTGTTGCGTAAGAACACAGCAAAAGTCTGGGAAATGCAAATCACGTTAGCAAAGATGGCGCTGTGATTAGTTCGTCTGGCAGAGCATTCTAGATGTGGTCAAATGTTGATAAGAGAAAATGAGAGCAATTCTGTCTGTCCACTCTTCGATTTGCGATCTTTTTAGGTTTGCCTTGAAGAACAAGCTGATGATATTGTTGCACTATGGTGGTGTTGAAGTTGCCTAACGTACTTAATATGTTGTATGCTGCTATAGTTCAATGAGATTGGTGCTAAATGTTGGAGTCTGTCCTCGTAAGATTTGTGCATTAAACCTATCAACCACTTGATTGCGTGTCTGTGTACTTGGTCCAAAAGGTTTATGTCGCCTTTAGAGACTTACCTATTCATAACTAAGTATTTTAACAACCCATACTTCTAACAGACATTCGACATGTATCTTCAGATATACAAAACACGACCCCAATCAATATATTTAGCCGGGAACATTACACAACGAATCATGTCTACCGAACTACCCGCGTTTTTGTGAGCGCCCGGATCAGCTCTCGCTTAGCTAAACCTGACAAAAAACGAACTCAATCATACGTCAGAGTTAACAGTGATCCGGCTGTCAAAGAACAGAAGAGCTTTTCTTCACATAGCTACAATCTTCATTAAACTGGGGATTGTCGGCGACTTACCAGGAAAACGAATCCTGATCGTTACCCTCTGTCACACACCAACACCCTGAAATCTCACTTGAATAATACAATCCTTTTGGCAAAAGTCAATCTAGTTAAAGCGCATATCCGAATTCACCTGCTGCAGTTGGTATTGCAAGAACGACTATCCTTATTCATTGCAGGCTTTTCGAACTCGATTGAGAGGGTGT